GGGGAAAATCTTGCCATACTAAGCTTTTGACATTATTTGAATATAGATGAAGGTAAGGGTTTGGTTTGATGTATGTCAATCTTGTTGATTAAAAGCAAAATTCTCTTGAATATTCTGTGGAAAAGATTTGTTACAAAAACCGAAAGTAAACCCAAGTTGTGTGAAATTATTACAGGTTTATTTTAAATGAGTAATACTAATCTAGAAACCATCATATAGATATGAATAATGTTCTTAAACGAACTACATGACCTATTGTGGAAAGTTAGTGTTTTTCTACTGTTATTAGTGCACATATATATAGGAGATACACAATATACAAGCTGTAATGTTAATAGTAACATAAATTCTGCACACATATGTAAATATTAAGTTCAGATGCACTTTAAAAATAATCCATTTTCTACCCTTCATCTTCCCTCCCTCTAGACTATATGGTATCGATTCAGTATGACCTATACTTATTCCTGTTTTACTGGATGTTGTGTTGACAATTCCGTACTTGTACATTTGCATAATTGATTTTGTGTACATCTGTGAATTCTTGCATTTGTCTTTATAATGTATTGCTTCTTTCCCATTTATGAGTATATAAGTTAGTATAATTTCTTTTTCAGATTGTTAAAGATTTGTATCAAGTTATAGTTAATAACATGTTCATAAGTCTATATGTTTATAATATTTTAAACTGACACTTTTCTACATCTGCTGGAGTTAAGACTTTTATTACCATATAGTAGTGTTGTAAGTTAGTTGAAATAATAAGAGAAATGATTGGCCTGTCAGAACCATTCAATCACAGATTATAATTGGTTAGTAACATTTTCTTTACTTTTATATAAGTTAAGATAAAAACATTTTAATGATATGTAATGTTTTATAAAGCATTTTCAATATATTTGTGCTAAGTTAAAAAAGAAAAAAATTTACAATTTTATAAGTTTAAAAGTGGAATTGACATATCTACTCACGGTTGTAGCACTTTATTATTTAAGTTCTTTAGTGTAACTGAAGCTTTGTATTGTCAGTTATGGTTTGTGTTTTAGTGGAATGCTTCTCAAGAAGCTGTAAAGTAAAACACTGAGTGTCCAATTAAAAAAATTAATTTTGTATTATTTACTACTATTAAGTTGTATCACTTTGAATGGTTACTGTTAAAATATAATGTAATCTAATTATTGTAAAATGCATAATTAGATTGTTATTTGAAAAATTATCATAAACAAAGATGAGAAATGTTAGGTTTGTATGTTTATGTTTCTAAGGTTACAGAGCTGGATGTGTTTCGGAGACAAGATACAAGAGATTTTGTGATGTACATCTCCAGCTAAAAGAAGCTATCCAGTTTTTGAAATTTCAAACCAATTCAATGAATGAATGGAGGAGAAAAATTAAATTGGGAGGAACTAAGAGCCTCCACACTAAAACGTAGGTTCAAATATCTTGTATTCAAAGTACTATTTTTTTTATCTTTGATAATTACAAACAAAGGATTTGCATGTATAACATATTTCTGTACATGCAACTTGGAAAAGCTAAATGTGCTATTACTAAACAATAAATTACTGATAGAATGCTATTATCTCATTGTTATTAATGAATGATGAGTTTGATCTTTCTAAAAGAGATAGTATTGTGTAACTAGGAATATACAAATGCAGCTTGAAAGAATTTTTTATTTTTGTTGGTTGGTATGTTGCTGTCTTCTTTAAGTAATTGATACATTTGGTGGAAAATGAAGTTTGATAATGAATAGTAGAGCCACACCGACAATTGTAAACATCTTATATGACTGTTTCAGAATTACACATATTCCATCTTAAGCAAATCTATGAAAATAACAAATTGAACAATTTTTTGTAAATTACTAATATAAAAATAGTGTTAGGAAATCATAAAACATTCAATTTAAAAAAAAAGGGAGAGAGCTATTTGAATAAAGCAATGGGGAACGAGTTTGAATTTCTATTGAGGCTTGGACTTTTGTTCATAACATGTAGAGTTTCTTTTATAGATAGTTGATGATTGTTATATCCATAAGTTGGAATTGAAAAGTCTTCTAAGAGGAAATTGGGTGCATTGACATTTTGATGCAAGAATATATAGGAGAGATAGGTGGAGAATGAAGTTTAAGTCCTGTTCTGTTAGAAACACCCATGTATTTCAAGGTGTGTATTTGTAAATGATAAGTCTTGCTTATGTAGGTGGCTTTAAAGCTAACACATGTATATTTATATATGACCTTTGAAAGTAAGAGTGGAGGTAAAATGTCTTTAGTTCTAAAAAAGCTACTGATACAAATTGATAATTTGAAGACTATGGAGTTTAATCTGAGTAGCTTTTTGAGTTGGGTTTTAACAAAAAAAAAACATTGTTTTCCAAGATACAGAATAACAAGTGTTAAAGGGAATTTGGAATATATTTGGATATTATTCAGTGTAGTTCTTTTCTTAGTAAAGTATGTGTTAAGTTTTCTAGTAAGGATGAAGGATACTCAATTTTTTCTTAAGGTGTCCTAAAGGAAAGTTATTTCATTATGAATAGAGATGTTATCCAAGCAGATCGAGTAGGCCCAGTGAAGAAGAGTTAAGACAAAGTTTAGTTTGAATTATTATGACAGAAAAGTATTTGTACAAACCAATGAAAGTTTTCTTTCTTTAAACAGAGGTGCTACATTTGTTGTTTCATTTTTGAACTTGAATGACAAACAAAGAAAGTTTGTTTTTATTTTCAATTTTACAAGTGAGTTTTATATTAGGGTGTTGAGAATTTAAGTGGTTGAGGAATTTGTCAATGTGTTCAAGGTTACGGAAGAGTAAGAATGTCTCATCTACATACTTTTCATACAGTGTGGGTGTAATGTCAAAAGGACACTTGTTCAGCCACATGTGCTCTTGGTGACAAAGAATCATATTAGCTAGTGAGAGTCCTAGTAACCATCTGTCTGGTTATACGCTGACCATGAAATACAAAGTTGTTTTCTTTTAAAGCAAGGTTTAGTAGTTGTGCAAGTTGCTCTTTGTTTATTCTGGCTCTCAGAAAGTAGTTACTGGGAAATAGTTTGTTGAGACAGATTTGTATCATTTCATCTAAAGGAATGTGAGTAAAAAGAAACTCAATGTCAAAGCTTGCCATAGTATATTGGTCAGCATCTGGAAATTGAGAAATTTCATGTGCAAAAAAAAAGGAATCTTTGATGACATAAGCATTAGTCATTAGGGGGTTTAAAATAGGAAGTAGGAATTTAGCAAATTTGTAGGTATAGGTTTTGATATTGGAAAGGATAGGTCTGAGTGGAGAATTGTGTTTGTGAATTTTTGGAAGACCAAACATAATACCAGGGGAGAATCCTGAAGGATAGAGTTCATTGAAAGTGTTATCAGAGATAATTTTCTGTTTTCTTAAATTTCTTTGCAGTTTTTCTTCACACCAAATGGTTAACCATGTTTGTATTTAAAGGATTAAACTTATTAGTGTTTTGTAGGATTTGTCTCATTTTGTCAGTGTAATCCTATTTGTTTGGAATTCAATTCCAATACTCTTATCAGGTTGGGTAACAGTGATATCATTATTGCTAACTAGTTCTTTAAGAACTAAGAATTCTTCTCTAGACAGAGGAGAGAAGGTCCTGTGAGAGTTAAAGTTGTAGAAAGACAACAAGGCAATGTTTTTCTATTCTAGTTTTAATAATATTATCAACATCAAAAGTGTTAGTACTTTTCCTCATCTCAAAAATCTCAAATATCCTTTGTGTAATCCCTAAAATCTCCTAAATGCATTTCAAACGTTTTTTTTTTCAGTAAAACTTTATAGTTTATCTGCTATTTTCTCTACCCTATCTCAAAACGGGATTGGTCAATTCGACCGACCTCGTAATCACCATTTGATAGATGAAAACTGACTTTCTATTGGTTATAGGTAATATATAATGAAACATAAGAGTGAACTATCAACGAGAGGATGTGACAGGTGGGTGTGGTAGGAGGGGGTCTGATGCTCCTGATGATAGTAGCGTGAAGCTACTGAAACATGAAGAGTCTTTTAACCCTATCGCCACAGGTATCCTTTCTTGCGCATGACACAAGGTTTTAATGTCTTACATTCAAAATTTTATTAAATTACTTTTGTTTATGTTATACCAATTAGAACAGCATAAAATCTTAGCTAATAATCCATATTTTAATAGTATATAAGTTTTAAGTTCTTAATTCTACAAGGAAATATTTTAAAAATCCTGAATTTCCACTAGTGTGACCCACATGACATATTTTTTCTTAGCATGTCATCATCCATATTTTATCCACCACCTATCAAAAAAGTACAAAATTAAATGTAAATTACTCTCTATAAAATCATTATTGCTCAGACAAACCATAATTTTTATAGCCTTCAATTTTGTTTGGTTACAGAGCTTTCGAATAGAAAAAAAATGTACGTGAATAGCAGGTAGTTTTGTAATGAAAAGGTTTAACTCATTGTGATCTATGAGGGTGGTATTAAGTCAATATTTCTTTCCAAACCCTTGACCAACTCGCCAGTGTATTTAGAAAACATAATTTTGTTCTTATTTTCAAACCATTTAACAAAATTAAAACAAAACTTCCTATCATTAAAGATAAAAAAGACATTTTAGAGAAGTGAGGTCTATATCAAATTGTGTGAATGCAACACAAAATATATCGGTCAAACTAAACGTAATTTGAAATATCGTCTTAATGAACATAAATGTTATGTACGTAATAATTATATGTTAATTTTTCCTCTTGCTGAACACATTGTCAAAACAGGTCATTCAGTACAATGGCATGAAACAATAATTTTAAATGAACCTTATAATCAAAGTGAATTGAATATTAGAGAATCAGTAGAAATTTTGTGCTGTAAAATCAATAATCCTTTAACTCTTTCAACCTGGGCTAGGTCCCTAGGACCGACCTCATAACCATTTTGTGCATGTTATAGTTTTCATGCTATAACTTTTAAATTAGTAAGGGAATGTTAACGAAATTTGGCAGTTTATCAGTAAACATTACAATGCTTTTATACACAAAATATCTAATTTTTTTATTAAGTCTTAAGGTTTGTAAATC